TATTTCAGATATGTCCTATTGTTACTTTCTACAAGTGAAAGAGGAGGTTTTCTCTGGTTGTAACTTGTAAGATCTTAAATTTTAACCATGAAACAAAGAGCCACAAGGGATAGTGTTAAAATACATGATGTTCTGAAGAGCAACTGCCAGAATGAGTATCCTGAAATACAACGCAAATAAAAGTTATACTAGTACGACTCAGCTAAGAAGGCTATGTATAAGTAACTATTACAACAAACTTTACTTGCTTTGAGAAGAAGCATTTCCTGCATAATATTAAACTATTATTACTCCATCTAGACAGAAATAGTGTATGATACATTGAAATAGTGCATATTATATTGAAATATGTACTCTATATTGAAAAGTGAATACATATATATAGTAATAGCATATCGTTACGATGTGCAAGCGCTATTTCAAAAAGCTACGTAATGGTTAAGTTTTGTTATGCTACATAACATAAAATAATGAGTTACATTGAATACCACCAGAAAACAATCCTTACGAGAGAGACAAAAGAGCATGCATGGTATATAATGGTTCTGAGTATTTGAACTTGAGCCCCTAGATAAACAACAGGCTAATGATCAAGATTCAAATGATACAAGCTCATTCTTTTCAAATGACAGCAACCTAGTGTTCAACATCTAGCACTAAGAAGACAATTCCAAAATGTCTCATCTATCTTTAGAGCCTCAAGAAGCCAACATCAACACGAGTTGAAATCTCAATTTATACTTAAATGTGCACCTTACATAGAACTCTTTTAAACAATGCTATTCTTTTCGGGTTGTCATTGCTATAGCCTAGCCAGTCTAATGTGATCAAAGTCTATAAAACAAAAACAAGTCACTGGTGTCCTTTAAGTTTGAAATTAGGCAATCATGATAATTTACGAATTTATTTTTGGGCATATGTTTTTGTTTTTTGACATGCAATGCAAATCTTTCTTCAAGTTTAATGATCCTTTATCTAAAAGGCAATGAGACTTATGTGACCTTTCCATTTAATCCTTCCTATATAACCACATCCTGAATCATCTTTCTTCCTATTTTCATGCCTGTTGGTGGAATTTTCCAACTTCCAATGTAAGTAATCACATCTTTCATAAAGCACAACAAGATTCCTACACCAAAGTCAGATGTTATATGGGGGAAAAGTACTATTATATGGGGTAAAACAATTTCATGCATTATGAAAGGATGGAAATTGCCAGTCTGATTCACCAAATACGCAAGTTCATAAAACAAGTAAAGAGTGCCTAGCCTATGAAGAAACTGGTTAGCCAACATAGCTATAAGGGGAAACAGACGAATTACATCCTCGCTATGAAAAGGATTGGAATAGTAAGGAGCACTATCACACCAACAAATACAATAGATGTCAACAGTCAATGGACATTATGGGAACTTCACTGCTTATCCATAGTTTGCATGAGCTTGATCATGACCAAGAACATACTTTCAGACCCCCATCTGGTCTCCATTTTACAGACGTAGAGCCTACTATAAATTGACAACTAGTTGAAAACTTTTGTTTATTATCATGTAGACATCTATGCAATTAGAATCATGATTGAAAACCATCTCTATTCCACGAATAGAGTTCAGACAATCATGATGGTATAAGCTGTCGAAAATGCAATATATAAATTAAACTAAGAGTCTGACCCCTAACTGGAGGGAAACTTCTCCTCGGCACGCCCTTACTAATTTTGACACCAGGTTTCCTGATCTTGGATATTTTTGCATATTTTTTTGGGTTTATTTCTTCAAAATGTTTGCTTTCACTTCTTCCTTGTAGCTACCAGCCTAACAATTTATCAATTAAACAATCTATGCACCATAGACTCCCCCCAACTAAGACTTCTTGCAATCCAAGTGGCCAACAAATCTTTAATAGTGTGATTTCCCATTTACATTGTCTGTACCTGGAAGATTTCATGTTTCAAGTGCAAATCAATATAAGCACACCATGAGAGCTTTCTCAGCAACAGAACAAAAACGCATACGCGTTTCGCTACCGACCCTTTGCACGAGCTCCACATCAGCCTTTTCAAATCCTATGTTAAAACGGCTACTAAAAGAGATAGCACCGGTGCAGTGAAACTTTCAAGATGGATCCGGAGACCACAATTCCCCATCCTAACCTTGCAGGTGAAAAATAACAAGCACTAAACTTCTAATTTGCATAATGGTATTAAAAAAGAGTAACATTAGTTAACTATTTCATAAAAGTCATTTGAATAGCCAATCGTATAAGGACACGATCTCCATCACGATAGAAGCCAGAAAAAATCCAGCTCACCGTATCGAACAAAATCGCTACTTTAGAATCGATCAACAGGAGAAAAAAGAAATCGCACGCGGGAACCAGACATCAATGAGCAAACGAAAAGAATCGATCAGTTAAAACCCTAGAAAATCACCGAAACCTAGATTCACGACATCAAATCGGATCAACCAAGCCAAGTCTCGTTTCCAAACCCTGACCAAGTACAAATAGCTGTTGGAATCAGAGCATCTGCGGAAGAGATTGGAGCCTTACCGACATGGATGAGTTCTTCGAACAGGGGAGGTTGATGAGAGAGAGAGAGAGAGAGAGAGAGACTTTGATATTATTTGAGTACGTTTTTTTAAAAGGGATGTTTTAGCTGCGAGAAGACGCGGGCGGGTGACGGGTCAGCAGGCGCCGTTAGGCGTAACGGCGGTGGTTTTGACGGCAAGCCGGAGGGAAATGCGCCGCTGAGCGTACGACCCGTTATTTGACGGGACAACGGATCCGCTTCGATTGGTCAGCAGAAGATGCTTTGTTTGTTGGGGATGTTGAGGGTTTATCTGCATGTTTTTGGAGTTAATTACAAACAAGCCCGTGTTGTACCATCCAACTGTGAATAGACTCCGTATAATTTTATTTGTGGCAAATAGATTCTCTTGGGTGAACGTTTTTTACTCTTAAAATGTTTAAAAGGTATCAGGAAGCGTGGTGAGGGTAGACCCCAAATTGCTTTTTCCTTTTTTTTTTTGGACTTTTAAAAGAATCGAAGAAGTTGAAGATTCAAATAAACAAAAAAAAGTTGAGAAAGTTAATTGTCCATCCATGATTTGTTGTTTTACAGTTTTTTTCTTTAAAATAAAACTACATGTGCCTTTCATGGAGGGTTTTACTATGGGATATTCTCTTATTTTACTTCTAAGTACAAATAAAAGAGCATCACATGTATCAGCTTTAAACTAGATTCGGACCCTCTCTATTATCAAGAGCTAGACGGAGAGACCGCTACATTTATCATAGCCATTGATTTGTTACGTTAATGGCTATGATTTATTTTTAAGTGTTAGAACTAAGAAACGCGTGCAATTCACGATAGCGCTAATGACAAAGGCGAAGATTTAGAATGATCACAAACATCTACTAAGACAAATCAACAACTACAATAAAAATAAAAGTGTCTCCACTTTTTTTGCCCCCCCCCCCCCCTCCCTTCCCCCCCCCCCCCCCCCCCCCCCCGGCTGCGCGGAAAGGCATCCCAAATCCCCTCAAACCTCCTTCAATATATAGGGATATATGCATTTGCTCTAGCCTTCAAGGCCACATACAATAATGTCCAAATACAATATTCATATATACACTGTTAGTAAATGCAAAGACAAGGCTCAAAACTTTAGAAGAAAATGCAGAAGTTGAATAAGGCCCTTGCCATGGCACCTCATCAGAGTGTAATCATGACCCTCTTATCTCTTGCTTTTCTCCTCAGTTACCTGCAAATATGAAAAAAATGATGGTGCTATTTTGATGAGTTGCCTGATCATTAATACAAAACACCCAGGATTGGAGGAGTGCATACAACATGTTACCTGTGCTAGTTAGGTTAAGAATCATAGGTTCTTAGTTACAAAAAAAAAAGGAAAAGGTCGTATTTTGCAGTGTCAACTGAAGATGCTAGAGTTGTACGAAATGTAATATAAAATCAATAAAATTTCTATCTAATTTAGAGGTTAACAATCTATGTTTTATATTTTGACTCATCGATTCATTCTTCAGGATGATTCGGTTGCAAACACCTATAATACAACATAACTATGCACCCATTCTGATACTATGTACTTCCCGCTTCTCCATCATTAGTAGTGTTCCAAGTTCAGACACCTTTCAGGGGGTAAGCTACAAATGTATTACTTTCACTATTGAAAAATGTACAACAAATACGGTAGTTACGTCTTCCTGAGGAAGAGAATGCTCTCGCCTTGCTATTATTTCGGCTTCAAGGTTCCCGTACAGTCACAACGAAACACTTAAGGTGCTGCATGTATAAACAAAAAAGAACAAACACATGCATCTAAAGATTTAACACAGGAGTGATCCACTAACAATAGATGTAAACTAAAGGAGATGTAGGTGGTGGTTTAACCAGGATGATGATACATATATGAAAACCTTATAGGACCAAATAAGAAGCAAATATGAAAACCTTATAGGACCAAATATGAAAACCTTGTAGGTGGTGGTTTAACCTAGGCAGACGCTTAAGCCTAAACGGTAATCAGGCTGTCCACGCAAGTCTTTGGATTGCCTAGGCGAGCATGGGCCGCGCAAGTGGGGATGCACCGCGTCAAAAAGGGTATGTTAAATTAAGCATAGTAAAGGTTTAAGATGGAGTCAAAATGGATCAAATCAAAACTCGATATCCAAATCCATCTCCAGATGAAACAGCGAGGACAGGAATTGAATCTTCAAAAAAACCTGCCCCTCTTATCGCCTCATCCTCGCCTTTATTTTTATCACTAGAGTACAAATCCCCTCAAACCTCCTTCAATATATAGGGATATATGCATTTGCTCTAGCCTTCAAGGCCACATACAATAATGTCCAAATACAATATTCATATATACACTGTTAGTAAATGCAAAGACAAGGCTCAAAACTTTAGAAGAAAATGCAGAAGTTGAATAAGGCCCTTGCCATGGCACCTCATCAGAGGTAATCATGAACAAATCCCCTCAAACCTCCTTCAATATATAGGGATATATGCATTTGCTCTAGCCTTCAAGGCCACATACAATAATGTCCAAATACAATATTCATATATACACTGTTAGTAAATGCAAAGACAAGGCTCAAAACTTTAGAAGAAAATGCAGAAGTTGAATAAGGCCCTTGCCATGGCACCTCATCAGAGTGTAATCATGACCCTCTTATCTCTTGCTTTTCTCCTCAGTTACCTGCAAATATGAAAAAAATGATGGTGCTATTTTGATGAGTTGCCTGATCATTAATACAAAACACCCAGGATTGGAGGAGTGCATACAACATGTTACCTGTGCTAGTTAGGTTAAGAATCATAGGTTCTTAGTTACAAAAAAAAAAGGAAAAGGTCGTATTTTGCAGTGTCAACTGAAGATGCTAGAGTTGTACGAAATGTAATATAAAATCAATAAAATTTCTATCTAATTTAGAGGTTAACAATCTATGTTTTATATTTTGACTCATCGATTCATTCTTCAGGATGATTCGGTTGCAAACACCTATAATACAACATAACTATGCACCCATTCTGATACTATGTACTTCCCGCTTCTCCATCATTAGTAGTGTTCCAAGTTCAGACACCTTTCAGGGGGTAAGCTACAAATGTATTACTTTCACTATTGAAAAATGTACAACAAATACGGTAGTTACGTCTTCCTGAGGAAGAGAATGCTCTCGCCTTGCTATTATTTCGGCTTCAAGGTTCCCGTACAGTCACAACGAAACACTTAAGGTGCTGCATGTATAAACAAAAAAGAACAAACACATGCATCTAAAGATTTAACACAGGAGTGATCCACTAACAATAGATGTAAACTAAAGGAGATGTAGGTGGTGGTTTAACCAGGATGATGATACATATATGAAAACCTTATAGGACCAAATAAGAAGCAAATATGAAAACCTTATAGGACCAAATATGAAAACCTTGTAGGTGGTGGTTTAACCTAGGCAGACGCTTAAGCCTAAACGGTAATCAGGCTGTCCACGCAAGTCTTTGGATTGCCTAGGCGAGCATGGGCCGCGCAAGTGGGGATGCACCGCGTCAAAAAGGGTATGTTAAATTAAGCATAGTAAAGGTTTAAGATGGAGTCAAAATGGATCAAATCAAAACTCGATATCCAAATCCATCTCCAGATGAAACAGCGAGGACAGGAATTGAATCTTCAAAAAAACCTGCCCCTCTTATCGCCTCATCCTCGCCTTTATTTTTATCACTAGAGTAACAAGTATCTTTTGAATAATTGCCTTAAAAAACAAAGTACTAAGTGCTAAAGGAACAAGTCATGTCAAAATGGATCAGATCAAACTTCGAAAGCCAAATTCATCTCAGATAAAACAGCGAGGATATGATTTTAAATCTCCAACAACTCTTGGTATCTCACCCTTACCTTTACTTTTGTCACCAGAGTTATAAATCTCACCCCTCTGACTACGGTAAAAACAAAAACCTTAAAAGAACAAAGTGCTAAAGGAACGCCTATGTGCCGCTTAAGCGCCTGACCTTGAGTCTCTAGGTGCAGTGCTCAGAAGCGCCTATCACATTCTAAAAGATTGGTGCCCTCTGCGACTATACTACCGTAGGTGATGATGAATATTTGATCTTAACAGCGGTTCTCATTTTGCACCTTGGAAGAACCAACATTTTGGCAACAGTATTTTCTTCGGTAGAATTCCAAATGGTAAGTCTATGCATTTTGAGTATTGGTCTTCTCTTTTACCTTCCAGACCCTATTTTCACCTCTGCTTTGCCTGGAACACCAATAGGGTGGGTGTGGATGCAGCAACGATAGCCTTATCCAAGTTAGCCGTATGTACTGGAAATTTATCTCATATGTTCTTTAGCTCCTTCTTTTGAGGGTAACTCGGAGGAACTTCTTTTCTCAAGACGAAGAAAGAAAACTAATGATTGATCACTTTTGTTTTGTTTTATATGTTTACAGTTCCATACAATATAAACTAAAAACTATGCGAATGGAAGGCACTAACTATAAAAGCTTAAAGTAGCTTTAAATCGAGCAGAGCAGTATGGGAAATAATGTCAAATAGCTTGGTCAATTAACTAAGAAAAAAAGAGCAGGATTGATGTCAAAATGTCAGACCGATGATATATCATTGCCTTCCTATTCTCTATACTTTGTAATTTCCTCCAACTAGTCAAATATCAAGAGAAAGATCATGAATCCACTGGTCTAGAAAATGGGTCCTCAATGATAATGTTGATTAATTAGAAATCTAGACTTTAACTATACCGGAATAGAGAAGATTCTCATCCAAAAGGGATTTTAAGTTTACGACTAAACAGATACAAATTAACAGAGTTACTCAAGAATCTTAATAATATCTCCAGTACCATGCTGTGTTGCCTGGACACAGATATGCTGAAACATATAAGATATACAGTAACACAAAAACAAATACATGTTGATTTCTGGACTAAAGATAAAACAAAAGCACCATGTTCAATATTTGTGTCTGACACATTTTTTTAACACATTGACATGACAATTCATGATAGACCTCACACATTTAGAAACATAAAACTTACTAAGCCACTTCGCTAGTTGCATATTTTAGTGATGGATATCGCATATTACCTGATCTATGGTGAATCACAGCCTGCAGATCAACTGAAAAAAGAATGGCCCTTCAATTTCTTTTTGACCTTCGAACTATTTGCAATTGCACAAAGCTCCGTGATTTAACATCACTCCCACGCCTCTTGCTACCAAGTATGTAGCTGTTCCCAAAGAGGCTGATGCAAGCATGATAGTGGTTAACTGCTCTGAACTAGGTCTGTGGTCTTCAGCAAGTAGAGGTGCAGATAATGCTGATAAATTTGCTCCAGATGGAGGTCAACAACACCTGTTTGACCAAATAATAGAGGCAAATTATGATGCTGAAATAGGATATTGAAAAGAAAAAAAAACGCAAGGAGAGATGTGTACCTCTTCCTGAAGAACAGGGTATAGTTGCTATGAAGAGTTATCCAGGTCAACTGGTTGTCTTTTTGTTCTCTATATGATTTTCTCTTTAACTCTGCTCTTTGTTGTGCAAAAGTCTCAGTTTGTGTACATCGCCTCTGCTGTGGAGGGGAGCATATATAGAGGTTTTATCAGATTCTAAGGAGCCAAGACTTCTGCATGGGCACACCTGGAAATTCCTCCAGATATGTTGGATTATTGCATTAATGCAGGAAGAAGCTTCATTCTTGATATTAAACTCATCTGCCCAAAAAGTTTCTGATGGATCTGCTGCATTCTATGCTGTGGATATTTCTTCTTCAGTAACAGACAAACACAGAAATTCAACTTGAGTTCCAACAGTATATATGTCTATCATGTCATAGTCAACAGTTGCATGAATTGATTAGGAAGCAGCAAGAGCAAAACTAGAGCCTGCGTTACCAGAACTGAATCAATTAGGGCATCTCTACTTGATTGAATTTCATAATCTTTCTGTGCAAATTTGTACGCTGAACATCTACAATAGCTTGAGAATTATCTTTTGAGAAGATGTATCATGTACCTCTCTCAGGAAAAGCCTCTACAAATTTGCAATAATTACATTTTGCTATTCATTATTTTCTGCCGACAAGATCTCAAGTTATTTAATCTACACATGGCATCTAGCAATCCCTTATGCAAACTTTTGTTGCTGTTCCCGGGAGATACCAGACCTCTCTCTTGAATATCTTTCAAAAGTGTTTCTCCCTCAACAAGTTTATTCTCCTTGCCAATTGCATCAATGAGCACGACATAAGTTGTGATATTAGGCAAAAGATCCTTCATTTTCATCTCTTCATACAATTTGAAGGCATCAGCAACACGATGATTAGCGCATAATCCTGTAATGATGACATTATAAGTAATAACATCTAGTTTCAACCCACTATGTTCCATTAAATCTTTCAAGTACATAACATAGGCAACATTGCCTTCCCTGTGAAGCCCATGCATGAGAGTAGTAAATGTAGCAATAGTAGGCACCATTTGTTTCCGAAGCATGACAGTCAAAATTAGTAATGCATCATCAACCTTCCCGCACTTACAAAGAGCCCTGATAATGGTACTCTCCGCTACTTCATAGGGTGCTACGCCCAAAATTTCCATTTCTGTTCTCAATCTAAACGCTTCTGGAATATTTCCTATCCTGCAGTTGCCATTAATCAATGTGATATAATGTGTAGGTTTGAGATGAAATCCCTTCTCCTTCATTTCGTACAAAACCTTAAAAGATTGCTCAAAATCATTTTTATTATTCAGTCCATTTAAAATAGCATCATAGGTACTGCCGCTAGGTGACATCTGTAATCTTTTCATACAATGGATAAGGTTGTAGGCGTTCTGCATTTGAGTTTTCTCACAGTGCTTTTTAATGAGCATATTAAAAGTCGATTCATCAGGAACAACACCATTCAACATCATCTTCTCCAAAAATTTTACCCCAATATCAATCATACCACATTCACAAAGTCCGAGAATTAAGGAGTGGTAAGTTACTTTATCAGGCATGACACCTTGTTGTATCATTGTCTTGTATAGATCAAATAATCTCACTGCATGTTGTTGTTTGATATATCCTTGAATAAGAATGTTATATGTGGCAAGATTTGGATGCAAACCTTTGTTCTTCATCACTTTGACTAGCTTATTCACCTTCTCCATCATCCCTGCCTTCAAGTATCCATTAATCATGGCATTGAAAGCATCAACATCAGTGTATAGTCCTTTGTTCATCATCTCTTCAAACAGAAAACAAGCACCCTTTAACTGTTGTTCCTTCACCAAACAATCAATTAAGCAAGTATACGCAACATGGTTAGGTAACAATGCTTTCTCTATCATCTTCTCCAAAAGAACAATCGCAGGAACAATATTGCCTTTCCGGCAGAAGCCACTGATTAGAATTGTGTAAGTATAAGCATCGGGTATAATGTTGTCCTCCATCATCTTATCACATAAAATCAAAGCATCCTCCACATTTCCAAATTCACACATCCCTGAGAGCAATGTATTATAGGTCATAATATCAACAACAAAAGGAATATCTAAAATCTGAAAGAAAAATCTTCTGGCCTCCTCCAAACTACCCCCGACGCACAGCCCTTTAAGTAGACATCTGTATGTACATTTATTTGGAGGAATACCTTGTTTAACCATTTCATCATATATGGAAAATGCTCCTAGTGCCTTGCCTCTACAAGCATAACCATTTATAACAATATTGAAGCTGTCAGAGTTTGGATATCGCCCCATCCTAATCATATGTCGCATGAACTCCTCAGCTTCTGTTAACTTTCCCATCGTACATAAAGAACTAAGTATAGCATTGCATGTAAGCACGTTGGCGTTTTGACCTGTACGATACATATCAGTGTACAACTTCATCGCATCCATAATATCACCCTGCTTGCTGTAATGGTATATTAGTGTTGAATATAAATTACTATTGGGAGTTACTCCGGTCTTGTGCATCTTTGACAAGATTCCCTTTGTATGATATATCTTGCCCATTTTGCAGAGACCATTAATCAATGTTGAATATGTGATAACATCAGGACTAACCCTAACCTCGAACATAGTATCAAGAATTTTCAAAGCATTACGAAGCTTTCCCTCTTTGCACAGTCCATCAATTAGAGTTGTATACATGATATAGTTGATTACTAGACCCTTGGTCCTAATCCTTTCAAGAAGGGTCATTGCAGCATCCAAGTTTGATGCCTTGCAATAACCATTTAGTAGAGTACCATAAGTAACCTCATCAGGCTCTACTCCCATAGCCTCCATCTCATCTAAAAGTCTTGAAGCTTCATCAGTATTATTATTTCGACAGTGTCCATCAATTAAAGTATTGTACGTAATGCAATTTACAAGGTGATGCTTTGACATGTCACCAAAAATGCGAGCGGCGATAGTAATCTTACCTTCTTTGCAGAAACCATTAATGAGGGAATTGTATGTTCTCTCATTTGGAGAAATACCAGCTTCCTTCATTCTTTTCAACAACATATAAGCTTTAGCACTCCTATTTCTTTTGCATAAAACATCAATGATTATATTGTACGTGAATACATCTGCTTTAATGTTTTTACTCTCCATGCAATTCAACAGCTTAAGAGCTGCCTTATACCATCCTCTCTTGTAGTACCAGTTGAGAAATGTATTATAAGTAACAACTGTAGGCGAGCATCCAACTTCTTCCATCTTAGACAATAGGTATCCAGCTTTCTCGAGCTTTCCCTCTGAACAAAGTGCATTCAAAAGTATATTGAAAGTGCGTACATTTGGACTAATCCCCATCATCAGAATTTCTTTGAAGAACAACAAAGCTGAGGATTTTCGCTGCTTCCTTGAAATTGAGGAAAGAATGGTATTGCAAGAATATATAGAGGCCTTGAATCCTCGAGAACCCATCTGTCGAAAAGTCTTCACTGCATCCTTCAGCATTCCTTTCTGAATGTAAACTTTTATTAAGAGGTCAAAAACACAAGGACCAGAATTACAGTGGTGGTAGGTTCCCATAAGAGCCAGAACAAGTGCGTAGTTCGAGACACAGAAGATAGGAGCTATCTCATCAAAATCCGGCTAACAGATGACCCAACCAAGAAACTTGCATGCCCTTTTCTCTGTGAACTGCTCGAAAGTGAGTGTGCCTCCAGTTTATATGATTTCACCAACCAATGACTGCTGAACATGGAACAAATTCCTGAAATTAAAAATCCTAGAGTCAAGCTACATTTGTTAGCACTTCACAGCACAATAATTAAAGTTCTATCAGAATACAAGTAATTATCTAACTAATGTATGCTGAAATTCACCACACGGATCCAAGTCGGGTCATATGGCCGAAGGAGAAGCTCAAAAACCATAAATTTAAGGGGGAGAAAAAGACAGCAACCGATTCTCCAATAGCAAGAACAGGTTAAGGCAGGAATAATCGTTTAAATTAATCGATAAGCTTCAATTCACCATCCACAGCATGTTACAGCTAGAAGTTTTAGCTGATATATCTGTAGTGTTAAATTAATGTGCAACTTATAAAACTTGATAGTTTTGTGAAATTGTTTTGACTTTAAAGTAGATATACATCTTCTCATGACCGAGTAGATATGAACCTCATCCTGGAGTTCAGCTCATAGACGTACAAGATCATAAAAATTACTGGCATAAACGTGGAAAACGTGCAAAATAGTAATCTTTAACTCAAAAATGATCCAGCGCTGGTTTTGTAAATAGAAAACGGTCCCGGCGCGTTCTCCGTCGCCATCCCCCCCCCCCCCCCCCGCCAAAAAAAAAAAAAAAAAAAAAAAAAAAAACTATTGAGCCAGAAAGATTATCAAACCGAACAAACTATTAAGCCGTGTATAGTGCAGAAGTAAAGAAATCAACAATGATTAAATTATGCTGCAATCATTGGGTGGAGGGAGGGAGAGAGAGAGAGAGAGGGTACCTTGAAGAAGATGATGAAAGGGGGAGGAAGCAGATGCTTTGCTTCCCACTAAACCCTGAATCGTCGGGTTGGGTTGGGTTGGGTTCAGAGGGAGAGGGCCCCCGGGTCTTCGCCCCTCACTTGGATGGATTTGGTAATTGACCCGATCCATCGTAGTTGCAATTAAAGACCCTATAGTTTCCCCGCGTTGCCTTTATCTACCCTCGCTTGCTCTTGATTACTAACAAGAGCACTTGAGGGCATGTAATTGTAAGGTAAGGGAAACTGTAGGTTTTAAGTGCAATTAAGCCGATAAAGAAGAACACATTTTCAATTTAGACCTCTTTAGAAAATTATTTGCAAAGAACGACCTATTTGGAAAATATTTACTAAATTCGACCTAGTTTCAGCCAACTGGCTGAAACTGGGTCGAATTTGGTGAAAAAAATCTAAAAAACTTCACGGGACTTGAAGCCGCGTGAATTTTAAGCCCCTCATAACCAACTTGATTAGGAGTGCCAAAACTTCTCGGGACTTGACGTCCTGTGAAGCTTATAACTTCACGAGACTTCAAGTCATGTGAAGTTTCTGGCTGAAATTCCAGAGAGCATTGCTCTCTGGAATTCAGCCTGCAACTCCACCAGACTTGAAATCCCATGGAGTTGCATGTTTAAAAAAACATGCACAAAATGTGTGCATGTTTTTTATATACATGAAAAAAATTTCCCAACAATATACACACATATTTCCGCCTCATTCACAACAATATACATGAAATTTCTACCTTATCACAACAATATACATGAATCAAACAATACATACGAAAATCACATATACTGAATTACAATAATATTCATAAAATTCAATCATGAATCAAACAATACACACGAAAATCACATATATAAACAATAATCGATCCACAAAAGAGACAAATTTGAACAATCTAACCATATCGTTCTTGAAATTCACAAAAGTAACAAATTTGAACAAAAAATTTCACATACATCCCAAAAGTCCTCCTCTCCTTTCCTCTCCCTCTCTTACCCCTTCCCCTCACCTCC